TCCCGCTCCCGGCCCCGCTCCCGCTCCCACTCCCGCTGCCCGCTCCCGGCCCCGCTCCCGGCCCCGCTCCCGGCCCCGCTCCCTCACCCGCAGCGGCCGGGCCGGCGCGGCTGTCCCTGCGCAGGCTGCCCACCAGGATGGTGGCGCAGGACAGCAGCAGCACCAGCCCGATCACCACCCCCGCCACCAGCAGCGGGGACACCAGCAGGCTGCTGTCACCGCCGCGCTCCCCGCGGCTCGGGAAGGCGCTGGAAGCGCTGCTCTGGTTCGAGGCAATTGCTGTGCGAAGAATGAGAGAGAGAGAGGAGAAATGTGTCACTTGTCACAGAGCCTCACACACAGCCACGGCACCGACCCCTGCTCTGGGGACATCCCCGGCATTCCCTGATTCCTGGGGCTGCCAGGAGCTGGCTCCAGCGGGGACGCGGGCAGTGGCTGCCCTGTTTATTGGGAATATCCCGCTGGAGCCAGTGCTGCATCACCGTAATTCTAGTGGCTTCATCCTGCCAAGATTCCTTGTACCGTGAACTGACTGATGCTGAAAGAACTGAAGTACACAAGGAGCAAAGTGGAAATTCCAAAAGGTGAGCTGCAAGAGAACAGAGGAATTGCCTGTTGTCAGGGGTGTAAGAAGGCTCCAAGGTTTTGCAGAGAAAGTTTTGGGCAAGAGTGAGCCACGGGAGCCTGTTTTTGTGACACACAGCTTGCTTTGGTTTGTGAGGGGAGTCAGCATCCCAAGAAACCAATTTGTAGTGCGGGAAGAGACTCATCCAGAGTGGGATTGCTTCGTTGCAACTGCTTTTTTTTGTTAAAAAAAAAAAAAAAAAAAGAATCTTTAAATGTATTATTTGTGTTCAATAATAAATCTTCTTAAAGGAGAATAACTACAGTAATTTATTGCCAAGTCAAAGATGCTTTTGAGACAAGCCACAGAGACAGTATCAAAGATTAAACAATAACATTCCCTTAGAGAAACAACTGATAGCATGGGAATTAATCGTCCAGAGAAGTATTTATGGGGAATTGCAGTGCTAATGGCGGGAAGGTAAATCAAAGTAATTATGGGAAAAATGATTCAGGATTTTAGCAGATAGAAACCCCCTTTCACCTCCTAAAAAAGAAAAAAACCTCCCATTAGCTGCTCAACATCAGTAAACAAAAAATTTATTGATGCAGAAAAATTGCTGGAGATGTCATATACCAAGCCTGGCTGTCAAATCTTGCCTGGATGTATTTTTTTATCTGGCTATGTGCCAGATGTACAGATACAGAATTTATTTCCTGATGAAATCAGGGATAACAAAATTTTCTCTTTTGAGTATTCTGTGGAGTGAGTGTGTGTTTTTTAGGAAGTGCAGTGCTGTTTACAAGGATGGATGTTATCAGAGAGTTCTCAGTAAGGTTTGCTCTTTTCCTTTGGGAGACACCTCTCAATGTTTTGCAGTCACAATAAGTTTAGAAAGAGGAGAATGGCTCCAAGCCAATGTATGCTGTCATAGGCCAATGCTTGAGACTGAGAGAACCAGCTAGAAACAGACACATGACAGCAGGGGAATTGGCAGGAGGAGAAGTATTGTTAATTTTCTGGAAGCACTTGACTGTTAGCTGAGGATCTTTATAGGCATTTAGGATAGACAGCCAAGAAATGTGCTGAGCTTTTACCAAGTATCTTGTGCCAAAAACCAAGACTGAATTTTCTGAGAATTGATCTGATGCTGTAGTGTTAAATCAAAGGTTATGGACAAATGTACTACTTAATACTCAGTGCAAAGAAGTTTTGGGTATAGGATATGTTCAGGGAATAAGGCCTTTGTGCTAGAACTCAAATTCCCAAAACTGTACAAAATTTGAATTATGTTTCTCATTTATACATTTTTTTAGCTATCTCTGTTGGTAAGGTGTCCAACACACCTTCACTGGCTTTCCATGGCCTTGTTTTTTCAGATTTTTGAAATTTCTGCCTCTGAGAGATGCAAATATCACAGCAGTGGCAGTTTAAATCCTGGCTGCAGGTATTAACACCTGAACTGGAAATAGTGGCAGGTAAGTTATTGGTAATTTTGGCTGACTTTAAAGGTAAAAGAAGAACCAACTTCATTGTCAGCATGATGAGAATGTGAGCCTGGGGTGTGAGGTTGCCCCACACACTGTCAGGCTTGTGGTCATCAATTTAATATTAAATAGCAATGAAATGGAATTGGTGATAACTGCTGTCAAGTGGGGAGGAAGGAGGCTGCAGTGAGTGCTTTCAGATCTTTAAAAACTTGGGACAAATTTGGAACGATCCTCTAAACAGGAAGGGCCTGGCTTAGGAGATTTATCTTATTTTTTCCAGTTGTGGAAGCCATCTGGAATATCTACACTCTGACTATTTGGGAGATTCCTGTGGTGCTACCCAGTGTGAGCATTGATATTTGGACCTGTTTCATTTTATAGAAGTTTACAGCTTCAAATGACTTCAAACATACAATACTGTCCTGCACTGGTATTGAGGTGGTGTGGTTTAGTTCAAGACACCCCATTTATCCACACGTTCTCAGGGCTTCCTTGGCTGTCTCAAGTCCTGTCTGTTTTATCTATTGTTTCTCACAAGTGTGAATCTTTCTGGTTTTTTAATGCTTTTAATCTAACTGAACCAAGTCCCTCATACAGACAAGTTATAGTGCAACATTGCTTTTATTCAAAGAAATTAATGAGTCCCCTTAGCCCAGCTCCTAACACAAAATGTACTTGATAAACTTCTCCTCTGGCACCTCTTTCAGTTTGATACTGCAAGTCTGATCCTCCAGACTTTACTACTGACTTACTACTGTGACAAACAACAGCTAAATGAGATGCTGCGTTGATATAAATCCTTTGAGTTTGAATTCTTTTTTTTTTTTGGGGGGGGGGGGGTGAAAAGAGATGTTTATATTACTTTTGGCAAAAAACACATTGTAATTTTTCTTCTCTTATCCAAAACCATCTTCTTTTGATAAACTATGCATTTCTCCAAGTAAAAAATGCTATGGTTTTCCTTCAGAATAGAAGTATCTGCAAATATATGTGAAGGCCATGTGAAGCCCATAAATACACTACTAACAGAGTGTTATCACTTTTGTTTTGAGGTAAATTGTATCAATTCCCATGAAACTGCAATTTATAAACAATATATGCATAAATATGAATATTTTATATCTAATCCTCTAAATATGAATTATGTTGGATGTACACACCATGGCTTTTATCCATGATAGGAGCTATGTGCTACTGTACACAACTGGCATAGGGCTGGCAGAACACTGACTTTAGAGTGAGCACCAGTACAGAATTCCTGGACTGTCCATTCAGTGTCACACAATAAATTAGCATTTTGAAAAATCCCTTAAATATCACTATATATTACTTTACTCAGTGCTCCTGCATCTCAACAAACCAATTGGAAAGTAACTGAAGGAGGTGTAGAACAACCTGACTTTTTGGGTGCATATTGTTCTTTCTCAGTCCTGCTAAGCTGACTTGAAGGGACACTGACCCCTCTCTAACTTGGCCATAAGTAACGGGGAAGTTTCAGCTGGGTCAGAGCTTGGCAGGGTGCAATGTGCAGACGTGTCCTGGGAGCTTGGCTCACCCAACATGCAGCCCTTTATTAGGAGTGGCTTCTCCCTTCCTCAGTGCCTTTCACCTGCTTGTACCTCAGAGGAGAGAGAAGGGAAGCATCTCCACACAAATGAATCTCTTCTCTCCACACTTAGCTGAGTTTGGTGGTGGTGATGGGGTCTTGTTCTGTTTCCTTTTGTCCTGAAGGCACATCAGCTCTAGTGAGGCTGCAATGGCCTCTGGAACTGATGGGCTTTGAGATGATTTTAGAGCTGGATCCTGCTTCTCTTCCCCTGGTTTCCAATGTATCATCTTAATAAAGATGATAATTCATGTTATGACTGATGAGGATGAGACATGGAGTGGTTTTGTTTCCCAGGCTGAAAAGTGCATGACCAGCTCCTGAAGGAGTGCTGGTGTCTTGTTCTGGAAAGATTTTGTGTCTAGAATCATCCACTTCTTCATCCCTGCCAGCCTGGGATTCTCCCTCCTGAGGGCAGGGAGGGCTTGGTGCTGCCTTGCTGAACTAGAGCTGAAGCCCATGGACAGAATAGGAGTGTTCCTTGTACCCCCTGGTCAGTTAAACTGTTTGGGATGGTGATCCAGCACCTCCCAGCACCCTTAAAGGCACTGCACTGACACAGGGTACAGGGCTGGGAAGGAGCAGTGGTAAAGTCAGTTTAGGATTGTGCACAGCACCCTCTGTAATCCTTTGGTCTTCAAATGATTGCAGCAAAGCATTTCAAGCACCAAATCAACTTAATGCATATTTCTGATATCCTTCCTTTCTCAGTCCCTTGGATTATGCAGTCTCTTTATCCAGGGAAGGTGAGTGATAGATGTCAGGAAAGAGCAGATACACAAAATCAGTATAATGATCCATGATTTTGTTGATTCTGCCTTTATAAACAGTTCCTGTTTGAAGATGATTTAGTCTGGCCAAGACTGACCAGCTGGACCCTGCCCTTGCTGCTGCCCTGAGAAATAAATCTCTGGAAAACAGAAGAAACTGCACTGCTTGTTTGTGTGGCACAGGAAAGGAGTAAGAGAGGTGTAAAAGAAAAAAGAAATTTGGGAAAGGGTTTGGATCACAGGAGCATCCCTGCAGACAGGGGGAGAGGGATGTTACTCACACATTGAATCCAAGGGCCCACACGAGTTGAACCTTAAATTAACTAAAAAGAAATGTCTCTATTGGATTCAGGTTCCACTGGATCCTGAGGAAGGCTGAAACTTCAATTAGGCTTGATAAATGCCAGGGTGTCATCTGCTTATGGGACTAAAAGAAAGCAGTGAGGATGCTCAGAACAGGGCAGGCTATTTGTCCTTTTGTATTTCTCTTATTCTCTTATAGAAAAGTCAAGAAATGAGTGGATGACCAGAAGAGTCTGGGAAATGTCCTCTCTATAAAGCAGTTTTACACCAGCCAGACAAATAGTACGGGAAAAGGAATTTTCAGTTCAGAAGGCCCAGGAGCATGTTTGGTTCTCTAAAACACAGTTCAGTTTTTCAGGCTTTTCTGCTTTCCACAGAGAAAATTAAACTGCCTCTTAAGATACAATGGATATTCAATAATAACTCTATAGGGAATGCTTTGAACTTTTACCTCTTATCCTCTTGTCTGCTGGAATTGACACTTAGCAGTTATTTGACAAAGTCAATGAATAAATTTTTTTTCCTGTCAGTTGTACCAATGACAT